AAATATCCTGGAAATAATTGATGTTGTACTGGTAAACCTTAATTGTATTTTAGGCCCTTACTCTGATCGCCAACGTAACCTGGGTTAAAGCAAACATGCAGTAAACTGTATCCAAATCCCCAGAGACGCTGCAGAAAATCATCTACGGTGAGAACAGCAGTAAGCTAATGCAGAGAGTTTGATATCAAAGTTGAAAACTATAAAGTAATGATACAAATGCCTAGTATCATTAAAGGTTACATATATGAGATTTCAAACATTAATATAGCAGCAAACCACTATTCTCTATGTAACGATATAGTAGAGTCATGGTGTCACACTCTGCCTGTGTTGCTATCACAGCCTCTCTGTGGTTTGTTTCCATAGCCAGTCTGGCCACCCATGTGAGTCATTCAATGTACAACTGAATAAAGCGACTAAAACTGCTGTTTTTATCATCTTCTTCTGTGAATTAAGGATTTATTTCCACCAGAGCAGAGTTAATAATTGTTGAAACAGTGTAAAGACTAACAAAGACTGTTTTGGTGAGTTTTTATTTTGTTTCTGTCCACTTTGAATAAAGTTAGGATGTTATCTGAGGCTAAATTACTCTTTTTGTCTATAGAGTCTACTGCTGAGCGATAGTGGTATTACTGATTTATTTCTTGTTAAACAAAAGGTCTATCTCTGTAGGGATCCTTTCCATAATGTTGTCAGGCAATTAGAATAACAATGTGAGCCTTTCAGTGGCAAAAACAACAACTTTTAGTGGATGGACTTACATAGCAGCAATAGGAACCTGTTTCACTGTTTTTTTCTTATCTAACTCTGTAAGTTATTTCAACCAAACCAGCATTGGTGATTAGAGAACAGTGGAAGAACTAGCAGAGACAGTTTTGATGAGTTTTCCTTTGCTTCTGTCCAGTTTGGAGTGTGATTTACAATTATCTGTTATGGTAAAATTACTGGTTTTGTCAATGGAGTCTGGTAGACTGTATTGCTGGCGCTCTAGTGTGACATCTAGTGGCAGCTGAATTTAGTTTATATAAAATATTAAATTGTCCTGTCATTGGGTTTCTCAAAAGGTGCAAACTAGTGTTGGCATAGTGGTTAAGACTCATGTAACTGTAACTCACTCACTGTATCTCCTGTCTATCTATCTATTCTGCAACTAGCTGTGAAAAAAGGGCAGAAAGTGCCAGAAAATCTTTTATCATGTTACATGTAGTTAACAGTAAATCAGTTTACTACATTTT